CTTCCCTTTGTTTTCCTCCCTGTCCTCTTATTACTCCAACCAAAGAGCCTCAGCAAGGCATCGTGTGACTTGAGGATGGAAGTCATATCTAAAGGAGAAAGAAGAGGGCTGAGACCCTGTTGACATCACAGAGCTGCCAGAACAGCTCCCTGCTATTCATGCCTGGTCTTTCTTTATTTTTTGGGGGAAGAAGTTTTTGCTATAGGGCATGTGCACTCACCAGAAAGAGAGACAGACAGAAAGTGAGATATCACCCCTCAGGGAGGATGGCCACGCCACAGTCCCTTCTCCATTCTCCTCACAGGATCTTGGACATGGCTGCACACGCACCCAGCAAGAGTTTAAGCCACCAGCTCGGAACTCAAACCATGGTTGACTACATGGGAGTCTGGCGACATAGCTATTAGGCCAAATGCTGCTTCCTTTTTCTTTTATTTTTGAGATTTTTTTGCTATAGGGTGTGCGCACCCACAAGAGAGACAGAGACAGAGAGACAGAAACTGAGAAATCACCCCGCAAGGGGGATGGCCATACCACAATCTTTTCTCCATTCTTCCTTTGGGATTATTTATTTATTTATTATCATCATAATCTTGTTTATTTTACATTGGATTGCATATAACTTTACAGTGTATTACATTGCTTTTTCACCTTTTGGGATTTTTAAAAAAAGAATTGTTTTATTCAACTTTATCTTATTTATTTGTTTATTATTTATTTTAATTTGACCAGAGAGGAACAGAGTGAGAGAGAGAAACGAGAGAACGAGAAAGTGAGAAAGGCCCTTAACCACCATACCACCTGCCAGCCTCCATCCCTTAGGATTTTAAGCACGCACGCACACGCGCCCAGTGTGAACTTTAAGCTACCGGGCCTGAGATTCTAATCATGGTCGAGGACATGGAAGTCCAGCAACAACGATTATGCCATAACCATTACACCATCCTGGTCTTTGATGCAGTGAGGAGAAGTCATTGTGTGAAAATGACTGGATTTTCTATTCCATCAGCCTAAATTGTAACATGACCCACAGTGATACCTAGGTGTTTTTTGTTCTCGTCTATACTATGGCAAAAGGGCAAATATCTCTTAATTAAGAACAGAAATAACACAACTTCAATCTCTGATGGGGCATTCCTTCTGGTAGAACTGTACCCAATAAAATAGATCGATCTGTGCTACCTTTCTCCTTGGAGTTACTGAATCTGGTTTTCCAGCGTGGTGGTGGAATGTAGTTGAACTTTCATAAGCACACACAAGTACCAGTGTCACTCAGCTTCTGTTTAGGGAGGTAGGGGTGAAGAGGGAGGAAGGGAGGACTCAGAGGGGAGTCAGGCTGCTCTGACTGTCTTTGTAAAATAAACATTTGAAGCTTGTGCAAAGCACTGGTCCTGAACTCAAGAAAAGCAGGGGCAGGGATGAGGCCTTTGCTTCAGTTCCCCTGCACACCCTGGATCAAAGGAAGGGATCATTATCGAGTCAAGTGGTTTCTATCTTTTTTAACCTTGGAATCTTTTTATTTTTTTCTTTTAAGATTTTTTTCCAATAGAGCATGTGTGCTTGCCAGAGAGAGACAGTGAGACAGTCAGAGGGAAAGTGAGAAATTACCTTTCTGGGGGGGATGGTCACACCACAGTCTCTTCTCCATTTTCCTCTCGGGGTTTTGGGCACATATACACACATGTTCGGCATGATTTTCAAAACCACCAGGTCGGAGATCTGAACCACTGTTGGCCATGTGGAAGTCTAGCACCTTAACCACTATGCCATCTGTTGGCCCCAGACCTTGGAATCTCTTTAAAACACATTTATTGAGGTTTAATGACATATTGGGTTGTTGGAAAAATTCATGACATATTTTTTCTATGTAAAAATGTGTCACGACTTTTCCGACAACCTAAAACAATAAACTGTGCACATGGAAAGAAGGTAATTTGGTAAGTTTTGCCATATGTTTATGTCTGTGAGACTGTCACTACCATCAGATGGTCACAGCCATCCCCCCTAAAAGTTTACTCATCTCACTTTGTGATCCATCACACTTCCTCTGGCAACCACTGAACTGCTTTTTATCACTGTGAATTCATTTGCATTTTCTTTTATATAAATGAAACCATATAGGATGTACGTACTCTTTTTTTTTAATGTCTTTCACTCAGCATATACATTTTTAGAGATTGTCCATCTTCTTGTATAAGTCAATGCATTCCTTTTCGTCACTGAATAACATTCCTTTGTGTGGATGTACAAGTTGTTTATCCATTCATCTGTTGATGGACATTTGGATCACTTCCAGGTTTTGGCTACTAAAATAAAACTGCTCTAAACATTTGTGCATAGGCCTTTGTATTACTCCTGGGTATATATCTTGGAATGGGATAGCTGGATCTTATGATAGGCATATGCTTAATACTTTGTTTTTTTCTGATCAGATCTTTTTATTACACACTTAACCTTGATTCATTGTTTATTTCATTTATTTGTCAGAAGGTGATCGCACTGTTGTGCACATGCAAGTGAAAAGCACCTGGCATTGGGGCGTGGTCATACCATAATCCTTTTCCTTCCTTTCTTTTTCTTTTTTTTTAAAGTTTTTGCTATAGGTGTGTGCACTCACCAGAAAGAGACAAAAACAGAGGGTGGGAGGAGTGAGAAATCACCCTCCCAGGGGTATGACCATGCTGCAATCTATTCTTCTCCAGTCTCCTCTTGGGATTTTGGGCATGCACACACGTGCACCCAGCATGATTTTCAAGCTGCCATCGGGCTGGGACTTGAGCTGTGCCGTTGGCCATGTGGGATCTTGTGGTGAGCACTGCATACGGGAGCCATCTCGAGCTATCTGCCATCTTGAAACCATTAGGCTTCACTTCCTCACTGAGCAAACCATTTCTCAGAAATCATGTGACTGACCGTTCTCCCCGGAAGTGGTTGGGTTTCTAGGCAATGGGAGGGATCCACCCACATCAATGATTGGTTCATGCTGTTGTATCTCATTTGCATTTCGGGCAGCCAATTGGTTCCCACCAGCTGTATATAACTCGCCATTTTTCCTGAATAAACGGAACTAGACAGAAGAAGACGACTTGATCAGCACCTGGTAGTGTGTGTGCGTGTGTTTGTCCCATCTCTCACTCCCTCCCCCAAGGAACCTGTTCCACGGTCCCGCACCCAAGAAACCGGTTCCACTGTCTCGCGGGCCGAGACAGGATCTAGCACCTCAACCTCCATGTACATACACATGCCTGGTGTATCCCTCAAGCCACTGGGCTAGAATTCAAACTACAGTTGACTGCATGCAAGACCAGGTTCC